TAGGAACACTTTTGACCGGCGATTTTGTATGTGTATAACATATCAATAGTATAAAACATCATTGATGCAATTGGGTTTTGTAGCCGAGACTCTCTATCGAGTCCAACTTCTCAGCCATTCGGATATAAATGATAATATTTGAATATTTGCAGACATATTTTTACACCGTTCTCTAATCCGAAACTAAGCAACGCTTATACTTTGGTATTAGACAACTGATAAACATGCCTTTATATTGTAATTAAATACATATCATACATAATTATATAAACACTCAGACACTGGATAAACACTATGTAACTCACACAATATTTTTCAGGTAGTAGTGATTGAGCCCACACCCACTACTCCCCACGCCAATCGGGTTATCGAAATCTCTTTGTAATCTTTATTCAAAAATAGTAGCTGAATTAATAACTAAAAGCGATATTTGTATGTTCCAATTTTACCGATAAAACATCGCCAATACAAACGCCACGATAAATGAAGATACCTATAACCTAAAAACAAAAAAAATCACGCGTGTAACAACGCGTTTTTAGGGTTCCTTACACAAAGGGTAAAGGGGACGGGACACTAATACTAAGACTCCGCTGTATGTCTGTCCATCGATAGATGATCATGACCAGGCTGTCATGATCCGCGATAGTTAGACCGTTGAAATTTTCACAGATTATGTATTTCTGCGACCACAATATAACAAAAAATACTAAAAAATAGATTAAAAAATACTTCAGTATGAGAAGAGTATAAGAACGGAACGGAGAACACTTTCTGGAGGACTTTCTGTCAAGCCGCCGAACCAATTCTCTCGTTACTCCAAATACAAAAAGCTCAACCATTCTCTGAAGACACAAATAATTTCATTAAAATCGGTCCAGCCGTTTAGGTGGACTTCAGTGACATACACATGTACAGAACAATTATATATATATATATACATTTATAAAGACTAATGGACGCCGAATGGTGGAAATTCGACCATAATTAATTTAAATTATAAGCTTGATTAATATTAATCTACTCTCAAATACAATACACAATAAACAAAAGTGTGTGTATTGTTTTCTATATTGATTTAATGTATTTTTTATGCATAATTATAAATATGTTTGCATTCTGCACTCCTTCTCTATTAAATTAAAAATTTTAAAAGTATTTTAAGGTATTTTAAATGGTAAATAATAATTGTTATGGTACATACCTACATTAAAGTTGTTTTTCAGCTGCGTGAATTACAGCGACATTTGAGACGTACTTTTAAAAAATCGAATAACGCCCGGCCCAATGTGTGCGACGTCATAACAGTCTCGAATTTCGACGGTTTTAAAAACAAAAGCTTTGTTCGCGGCTATTGGCCCCGAGCCGGGGACCGTAAGGTTTGACGTGTGGCTTTTGTTCTTTGTTTTATTTAAAAAAAAAAAACTCAACCGTCAAATAATAAATTTTGTTGTTTTCATAATTCATTCCTCGATGGATTTATGATCTCGAACTAATCTGTGCGCGGTGTGACCCTTTTTCGATGGTAATGGCGTCGCTCTTAAAGCTCCGAAAGCTATAGGATGATGACTTTGCTATCGGTATTGTATTACGGGATAGCTCATAGGTCACTAAGTCGACGGGAAACTTTGCTTCCTATGAGCTCATGCCTGATTATATTTTACGCCATCCTCATATAATTAATAATAAATAATAATAAATAAATATTTTAGGACACATTTTTTTTAGACACTAGAAAAATACTATGTTCATTACATAACATTTATCCAGTAGTGGGGATCGAACCCACACCCTCTGGTGCAGGAGGCAGGTACACTACCCACAACGCCATGCGGGTCGTCAAAAAACTGTAAATATATAATTGTAACAGGATACCGGCGTGAAGTGGAAGAGTTATTCTACTGCGTTTCGTTCGGTGGGTGAGGAAGCCGGGGACCACTTTGTTAAAACGTGGAAACGCAACCATACGGGTGTTGCAATGCAAATGTCAATGGGCGACGGTTATCACTTAACATCAGGTGAACCGCCAGCTCGCTTCCCATCTTCACTTCATAGTATAAAACAAAGTCGTCCCGCTGTCTGTCCGTCCCCATGTATGCTTAGATTTTTAAAACTACGCAACGGATCTTGATGCGTTTTTTTAATAGATAGAGTGATTCAAGAGGAAGGTTTATATGTATAATACATAGCACCCGTGCGAAGCCGGGGCGGGTCACTAGTCTTAAACAAATAAAAAAATCGATGGCTGCTTCGATCAAGGATGCCTGTGCCAGATCACGATGAGTCTTCGTGGCCTTTTCCTCAAGTGTTGCTGTATTTAATAATACAACGGATTTAATTCTGGACTGGAGGAGAGCCAGTTTTCGTGTCGACAGTCGAATGCAGTCAATTTCATGCGTAACCAGCCAGTTTTGCGCGCTTTTCTCTATATGAGCTGGCGCGAAATCTTGCTGGAGTAACCAGCGTTTGTTATTTAACATGGTATTAAAAACAGATGTCACAAAGTTTGTGAGGACTCTATATTGATAGACAGCAGCATTCGTTCATGCGCCTTCCTCACAAAAATTTATCTCAATCAAGCCCCAAATATGAGACTCTCAGGCAAACCAAAAGTGATGTCCTCGCTAGACACGCGGAATGTTGGCTACTGGCTACTCGCTTCTTCAATGCTGTAGGCGTATACCGGATAATTTTCATTTTGTAAATTTTGCAAATTTTCCATGTCGCGACGTGGAAAATAAATAATAGTACGTATACTGTTTTATAATATTATGTTCTGGTAAATATTATGCGAGGTAACAGAACTACCAGGATTGAATAACTGAAATAGAACGCTATATAGATCTATCGACACTACGATTTTAGATGTTAGCGGCGTGATCAAGAAATTTCTTAATTTTTTTCATGTTAAAAGCTGATAAGCAAGCTGGTGGTTGACCTAATGTTATGGCCCGTGTACACATAGGGCCAACGCATTGGGCCAAAGCGTTTGCGTTCGCGGTGTGTTCGCAGTGTACCATTATACCATACCAAGTGTCCATTGGCGCTCCTTTGATGTGTGCTCAAAAAACCAACACAATTCGCCTTGCCGGCCAACGTTCGCGCCAACTACGATTTGTCATAAACGTTTCGCAAAATAGCCCTCTACGTATTGGTCCAATGCATTGGCCCAATGTGTACAGCGGCCTTTAAGTTGGCACCGCCCATGGACATCCTGAGGGACTGCAGACACTATTCATGTTGTGAGTTTTGTGAGGGCAGCCGTACTTGCCCGACAGGTTTTATAAATAACAATTTTTTTTTATTAACGAAAAACAAAACCTACTTCATATATCTCGCTCTGTATTCATTTCATCATTAATTTTCAGGAGTTTCCTACGTATCTCGGGAGACCAAGATCCAATACCGATGAAATTAATAAGAGACCACATGGGAAGCGCCGGCTTTCAAATAAAAAAAAAAGTATCATCAAAATCGATTCACTTACTCGAAAGTTCTGAGGTAACAAACATAAAAAAATACAGTCGAATTAAGAACCTCCTCCGTTTTTGAAGTGTTGAAAAAACTCTGTCTCAACAATCTCCGGTGATAGGCTCGTCATTTGTCATATTTGGGAATGTGTATAATAGGGGGAAATGGTACGCAATCGTCTACCTACTCGTCTAAAGAGTAAATGTATATGTATAAAATGTACTAGGAGAGCATAACTTTAGTGGTAAGCAGGCTTAAAAAGTTAGGCTCAATTACGATGCAGTGTACCCTCCTCCTCTTGAAATAATTAGTGTCTGTTTGTAGTAAGACCACCATCTCAGATTGTCCTAGAGACAATGATAACCTGTCACGATAAAGATCAGAAGCTCGAGGATATCAAGTTAGTTGTTATCTTTGTCTATAAGTCTGCATTGAAGAGGGAAAGTTTTTTTTTAATTTGTACCTATGCACCACAGGCCATGAGTTTAGTAGTACTTACCTACATAAAAAGCTAAGCCTCGATGTTTGGAATATTTTTCGTTCGATGACAGACTGATCCGCCTGTCATATTGGTACAATGTGCTCAGAACACTCTCTGCTTCCGTTTGTTGAATTGGCAGGATATTTTTATAGTAAGTACAAGTATAAGTACCAGGATAGCATAGCTGTGCTAGTTGCAGTAACTTGATATGGTCAAGGCCTAGCGAGAGGACGGTTTTGAATTGTAGCTGAAAATGTGCCGTTGCCGTTGTTCTTCGAGTAATTCAGAGCTATGACCACGTTTAGTGACAGGCTCATCATCTGTCGGGTTTAGAAAAACTGACTTTATCAATACCCCGCTGTTTATCCGCTAGGAGAAAGGCAATTTTATATTTGTTTTAAATGTACCAGGAGAGCATAAGAGCTTTGTCAATAGATTTAGGTATGTGCCATTTTAAACTTTTTGTATTATTTACGTATATACTTCAATCATAAAACTGTGTATAACGAATGAGATCGTGGTTTATTATTCGTCTATGGAGTCTTACTGCATTTGCATATCACTGTATTTATGCTCTACATACACATATACAAGATCTCCCATAATCAAAATGCGATAGACAGAGATAGCCACTAATGCTGCTTTTCATACCCATTTTGCTCCAAAGTTAACAAAAATGAGAGACGAGAAAATTAAAAACTAAAAAAAAAAATCTTATCAATGTACGCCACTTGGATACCTGTATGTATACTATACAAGTATACAATATACAAAACCACGCACGGCCATCACTCAAAGGCGTAGAGTGCCCCTTTCCGCCATTTTCCACTTCCCCGTTGCGTAAGTACGCATCCTTAATTGGTATCGAGAGTCGGTGTCTTAGGCCTAAAACGCTGAATCGGCAACATTAAGCAAAACACTACCGCTGTGAGTGTTGCCCGCAATTCTTTTGTCGTAAAACGGCCCCAAAGGCCCCACGGCCGCCGTGCCGTCGGCACTTACCTTTTAAAAAAAGAACGAGCGTCAATTAAATCGACAAACAACTAAAATGCAGCGCAAACACTGCTTGCCAACCCTGAGGGTGGCGGGCGAGATAGGGCACGAACGGGCCGGCGCGCCGATTGGACGTCGCCCCACCAATGGGGTGCGCGCAACCCACCCCTCGGTAGGGGGTTGGCGTGTTCGGTCCTCATTCCCAAAGTTGCCAGAGACAAGTAGGTACGTCCATCGTTGTCTATACCGTGTACTTATTTAGCTTTTCGAAATTGTTTCACTAAAAAAAGCATTGATTATTTTTTAATTTAGGTATTTTAACATTTTATAATAAATAATTTGGATTGATGATGCGAAAAACGAGTAAATATTTTTATATTATAGCTATAAACAATTTAAAATTAATTAATACTTTTTATAAATTTATTTATGGCTTGTTTTTTTTAGTACTTAAAGACATACACGATAACTTTAAAGATTTGATATTTCTAGTAAATTAATTAATATATTAAATTTATTAATAATTATAAATGCAATTGATAAACAGATCACTTAAATGATATCCTAAGAGGCCTTTGAAAAAGGCCGTGAGATGTTAAGTTTGTTTTATTTGACTAATAAGTGATAACTTTACTGTAACTTGTATTCGTGTTTTGGGCATGTTTGTCCCATACAAACATGACGTGTTAAGATAAAACAATTTGTATGTCAAATTATTTGTATGTCTTCAAGAAAATAAAAAAAATTGTCATAATAGTGCCGTATTATCCCTAGGTTTGTTATACTTGGCCGCCATGAGCGATTGAACTCATCGCTTTTTCTGACCAGATTGCGGCGGAGTCGGAAAGGAGGGTTGTATGTTGTTATGTAACTGTTAAATTGTATAATTGATTGATAAATGAATTATCATTAAATCCGTCCTGAAATGGTTGCTTTTGGCGCCAAAGTCTATATTTTTAAAATATATTTTTAGTAACGAAAGTAGTGTTTTTTCTTGTTTCCTATGATCTTTAGACGTATATATCGTATTTTAATACTAACAAAACTGGTAAAATTGAATAGAATTAGAATAAAAGCGTCAAGCGTCCTGTACTAAAAAGCTTGCCTCCCTTGCCCCTACGAAATCCCGTGTGGAGTGTCGAAATGAAAACAGCGCGGAGCACCGGCGAAAATCCCGGCGGGCGTCGCGGGATCGGTCGCGGGATTAGGGAATAATCGTCGCAAATCCCCCGCCACTCGAGCGCGCGCGTGCCTAACGCAAACAGCGCTCGGGTCAGCAAATAGTACGGAGTCCGTTACGAGGTCATTAACACAGACTGTGGGCAGAGAATATTAAAAATTCCGTTTATAAAAAGCGTTCGAAACCGGGAAAACTGTGCATTGTGCATTTATAAATATTATATAAAATTCACATTTTAAATTTTATATCGTTTTAATTAATATCAAATGTCAAGGACTTTCTAACTTACGACGTACGATTTAATTGAATTTTTATTTTTATATTAAATTTAATTACAATAACAATATTCGTATCAAGATAAATTTGATAGTAAACAAGGATACTTTGATAGGCTTTGTCAGGTTGTAAATATTTAAAAAAAAAAGAAAAAAAAACTTTGATAGGAACCGTCATGAATCAAATTATTCCCAATGTAGTTTAAATAATATGTTTAATAAAGACTTGAAGAAAATCCAATGTCGCATCAAATTGCTGAATTCCATAAATAAATTTACTTGGGCATTCATATAGTCATTATCGGATAATTTAAAATTTATTTCAAAATATAAATACACTTAATAAACTAAAAGACAAGATGCGCCTGAAAACGGGCTTCATTAGTATATAAAAGGAATACTTGACGTTTCTTAATATAAATTAAGCCACTTAAAATATATTCGCTAACTTGAACGTTATAAAATCGTTAAATCTTAAACGTAAAATGGCGGGGGAATTTGTATATAGGCGGGAACAGGGGCGTCGCGGCGCTCACCACGCCCCGCCAATTTCCACAGATAATGTAGAGTTGCGGCTCGTTTGATATTTGTACGTTACAGTACAGAGTGTAAATAAAACTGCCGTAAAACATGTTTCAATAAAAGATTAACAATAAACCTACAGAAGCTAACTACGTTATAAGTAATAAAGATTTTTAGATTTTGTCAATTATTAAGTTGATTTTGTGTCGTTAAAGAACTCTAATTCTGTAAGCACTTCCACGTTTTCAATGGGAAATGTTCCAACATTTTTTAACGTCTTTCAAACAAAAAAGATGAGTTATTTAATCGTCTACGATAAAAATAATTTTTAAAAATATAGGTGTAAAGTCAAAGTTTACATGTTATTTTATTACAGTACTTATTTTCACACTTATTTCAACAAACGGAAAAGTTATTGAATAAAAAATCAAATACTATAATATTTGATACAAGTTGTTGATACGCCTATATATAGAGTCTCGATTATCGCAGTCACATATTATTATTTAACAAGTATAATTTTTAACAAAAAAAAACCGACTTTAATCAGAAAATTAAAAACTTTGTTAATAAATATAATAAAATCGGCTCATAAACGACGAAGTTATCCGCGAACACACTTAAAAAAAGAAAATATATATGGTCGAATTGAGAAACCTCCTCTTTTTTTTTGAAGTCGGTTAAAAAGGTACAAATCACTCTTTGAGGTAGAGTAAAAATCTTAACACAATCATTAAAAATTTCCAAAATGTTAAGAATACTATTAGCATCACAGGGCCATCGGGCAAAAAGAATCAAAATTATATACACATAAAAACTGCTTAGTATCTAAGCTCGGAGTTAAATTGTAATGGGAATATAATTGAAATGGTGATATAAAAAGGAAACGATTCTAAAGGTTATATTCCAACCTTGAGGCAGAATCTTTTTTACAAGCATTACAACTGGCCATTGCTAGAAAAAAATAGGTCCGTACGTGCTGAAACACTGACGTCACGTCACGTCAGTGTATCGCTGCTGGATATCGTATAGATAGGGTGACCAAGTTGTGTAAAGGAAATTTTACTATATATTAGCATTTATAAAAATTGTTTATGTTTACGCCTCTTTGAAAACTTTTAAAATCATGAATCATCTCAAATGAATGTATAATAACTAAAAGATGGGATTGTCTAGGTACACAGGAGTTAAGTAAATAAATTGGACTATACCAGATAGTAGAGTGTAGTGCTATAGGCTGGGCAATTGGTCAACAAACACATACATATTTATAAACACAAACTAAAAAATACATATTTATAAAAGATAAAGTGTTGCTTTAATCTTTTTTTACCAATAGATGAGATTTACAATATTTCAATATTCAATCTATTGACATTAGCTTCGTAATATTTACGTCAAAATTTTAACTCCAGTAATCAAATCTAAGTGTAGACATAGAATATTAAACAAGCCGTTAATGATTATTTACTTAAATCTACTTCTAGTCTTTGTTATGTTTGGCAAGCCTTACTTTATTGTTAAAACATTAAACAGAACTGGACGGAGTACTGTGTCTTAAAAATGTTTTGGTTATTTGATACCATTATCTAATGATTATTAGTAGCACTAGTTTTGTACTGAGATTTTTTATTTAGTATTATTATTTATTTATATTGCATAATACCATTCAGGAAATTGTAATTTTTTCACGAAATAACATACAAATACAAAACTAAACAAACATAAATACACGGAATATCCTCCAAGTTCGCGTAGTTTGGAGAACGTTCAATCATTCCCACGGGGCGTGAAGCTTCAAATTTTAATGAATGATTTGCGCACAAATAAAGACTGACTGGCGGTTGCCATATACACAAAAAAAGCTAGCGGGTGGGCGTCATAGTTAGCGGGGAGGCCATTGGATTCCGTGAGAAAATTCAAATTTCGAACGACAATTCGAGGCTGACGGAAGAACGGATATTGTCCGTAATAAACGGCGTGCCAATATTTAAATGTTATTTGAACATAATTTTTTTTCCCCAATGGTTATCGGTTCTACGAGCTATTATTTTTAACTCGGTATTTATGTCAGTAAGATTAAGATAAAAAGGCAGATATTTTAGGTGACTAATTTTGACTGTTGTCAATTTTTTGTTAATTGTTAACGTAGTAATTAATACAAATATATAATTAAAAAGAAAGAAATTATGATAATATCCAATCCTTCAATGTGTGCGCATCAGGAAAAAACTTCTAAATAGATTTCATTTAAGTACTTCATTTAAGCTTTATTTCTTAAACACTTGGTCCTTATATAAACATAATTATTGTCATGTCTTCATTTAATGTTATTAAAGTTATAAGAAACAACGGTTTTATGAGCATAAGTGTTCAGTGATGTGCGTTTTCTTGATGAATGTAATTAATTACTTACGAGGGATTTAAAATATTTATCATTTTTATATAACATTACTAGCTGTCCCGGCAAACGTTGTTTTGCCATATAAATTAGAAGTATAGAAGTAGGGTAGAAAAAAATGTTTGGTGTGGACAACTCTTAACATTTAGGCGGATGAAAAATAGATGTTGTCCGATTCTCCACCATGGCCGATATGCACACAATTCACGAAAATTGGTCGAGCCGTTTCGGAGGAGTTCAATTACAAACACCGTGACACGAGAATTTTATATATTAGATTTATGTCTAGAATTTAATAAAAAAAAAATGGATAGAGTTAGAAAAGCCTCCCTGTATACACATACGAAGCAGATATGACACTAGTGCACCAAAACGGAGGCACTGAAATTACACCAATTCTTGCAATTCTATTGACTGTCATCTCTTTCCCTATCATACGTTCTGTACGTAGGCTAGGATATTACGGTACGTAGGATATATTTGAAAAAGAGCAACTGTTGAGTTTCTTGCCGGTTTCATTCTCAACATTTCTCAACAGAAACTGCTTTCCGAACCGGTGGTACCTTACGAACTTATGTGTATAATTTTTTATGTAAAATTTGACGATTCATAAGAAAGAACGCGCAAGCGTTTATTTGAATGAAGATATTTGATTGATTGATTGATTAACACGTTCGCTGATAGGTGAGTTCTCATGTACTTTCAAACTGTGCGCAGCTAGTTTGATTAGGCCCAGTTGGTGCCCTTTTGATGGTGCGTACCAGGCGCCTTAACCCTGGTAATGTATCACTATACCCCCGGCTTAGCTTTAAGATTGGACAAAAATAATATTTTTGAGGATCAAAACCACCAGGTCACCTTGTAACGCGCTAGTTATATAGTTACCATGTTAAGCCTTGTGATGCACTAGAATTGTAAATTTTTAGTGATGGGATAGTGACTGAAATAAACAAAAATTAAGTCATCGATAGGCACGTCAAATTATCTTTATTATTTACTTAAAATGGTGTTCATTAAAACAGGGCAAACAATACGACTTATTGCACTTACTGCATTCTGATTTTATTTTTTTAATCTTTTTATCGGCCTGTTTATTTTTGAGTGTTACCGGAACTTTGCGTAGCAGCGGACGCAATTTCTCCTTTTGTTGGTTTTGATAAACTGATGTTCCGTTCTCATGATGACCTCATTAGTGCCTGCAATAAAATGTAAATTTTATTAAGTGTATTAGTGCGGTTTACATTTAAATATAACTTACACTGTAACAATCCAAAATAATGCAAATTGCTGTAGGAATGGGATGGCAAATATTCGGATAATAAATAAGGTTATATTTTTAATTCCTTTCAGTGCTGTGGATGTATTAACTCGTCTTTAGATTTTTCAATTATGAACTGTAAACAGACAAAGATAGAGAAACAGCATGAGCGTACATTTTCCAACGTTTCGTAGAACAAGGGGTCACGGTCAAGCACAGAAAGGGTTGTTAACAAAATGTTCTATCTAAAGAGCTGGAGAAACATAGACAACAAACAATATCAAACGTAAATTTTGTAATAGTATTATTAAAAATATTATAAATTATTAATAATTTGGTCAAAACCCAAGCATAAATTAGCATATGAAATATCTTTGTCAAATTCTCAAAATTCTATCTTACGTGATAAGGAAGCAAATGCAACTTTGGAAATTTGTAAAGAACACGTAGCAGAAACAACTGAAAAATAAACAAAAACACCCAAACAGCGGCCTTGCGATCCTTTAACATCAGTGCAAATGGTGTTGAAGAGTAAGTAGAATACTATTCCCTGTTCTGTGCGGAAGAGAAAAGTGCATTGGACCGGAGCTGCTCTAAAATGAAAAACCGGTAAAAATTAACGGCGGTAGGGCCATGCAGCAGCCCCGGCTGTTGCACGAATGGGCAGACCCTTCCGGGTAAGTACCACGACCTCACA